TCTTCCATTGCCTGAAGCCACCCTGGAGAGATAAGGGCTTCCTGGACAACCTTAGGAACAAAGCTAGAAAATAACAACGAAATGAACTATTGATGGGAAGGAGAGAGGTGAGAAACAAAAACATAATTGGAGATAGGATGAAGAGTACAACTGCGTTTACCTTTCCGTAGGGCAATGGGAAGGTCAAGGTCAGACACTGGGTGTGAGGGTGCTACGGAAACTACTGCTAGATCCGTCAGCGGTGAAGAAGCTGGAGGGGCCGGTGCATGTCGATGCATATACACTTGATGGATAGGTGGTCGTGCAAGAGGAAGTGGCACTGGAGACAAAGCTGGAGGGGCCGGTGCATGTCGATGCGTATACACTTGATGGATAGGTGGTCGTGCAGGAGGAAGCCGGTGCATGTCAATGCGTATACACTTGATGTATAGATGGTCGCAGCTGGAACAAGAGGAGTGGGGTCTGGAATAGGAGCTGGAAGCAGAAGGAGATTGGAAGGACAAGAGACATCCGACCCATAAAAGAAAGGAACCAACTCAAAGAAGGTTACATCGAGACACACAAAACAATGTCGAGATATGGTAGTTCACAGCAAAAATTAACAGTGTCCATCCATACCACAATGCGTACATATCCTCAAACCATTATTACGTCCTCTACCACGAGCTCCCCCTGAATCTCGTCCTCCAACACACCCACCACCACGACTGTTCATGTGTCCACCTCTACTACCACAGCATGGCTGACTCTAATGAGCAACACCTCTACCACCACGACCTCCCCCCCTTGTCACTACAAAAGCAAGCCTGTCCGATATGGTAGGGTTTTTCGGATGTCCAATGGAAGTCCTCCGGAGACAGGCAAACACCTCTTCATGAGAAGGGAGGGAAGACCCACCCAGAATTTGGGCTCTCACCGGTTCATATTCAGATTTCAATCCCACCAAATATCTAGTAACATCAAGTTGTTCTCTCTGTTGTTGCTGAACTTTGACATCTGATGTAAGAGGGTGATACACATTCAGTTCATTCCTAAGACTCCTTAGACTAGCATAGTACTCCTCGAGACTTTGATTACCTTGCTACAGATTAAAGTACTCTTGATAGAGTTGGTATACCCTAGTGGTATTGTCTTGCCCTGAGTAAAGTTTTTTTGCATGATCCCAAATCTCCTCTGCTGTGTCTAAGAACATAAAATTCACACTAATCTTGGGTTCCATGCTGTTCCATAACCAAGCCATAATCTGTGCATCTTCTTATTCCTAATCACTGTATTCTTCGGATTCAACTAGAGGTTTTTCTTCTCTCACATGTTTCACTTTCTTCTTAGCTCTGAGAAACACTTCAATAGATTTGGCCCAAGGGATGTAATTTTCTCCATTCAGTTTGATGGAGGTCATTTGCACATTCAAGTAGTCAGGAGGGACCATAACAGATTTGTACTGTCTCCCATGGCTGCCGAAAAAAAAATATATATTAATTTTTTTTATTCACACTAATATGTTACCTCAACTTACCAACACCCACCACACTACACTCCTATAGTTGAGCAATCACCATTATCCCACAACACTTGTGGCTGACCATTGCTGAAACATCCACTGTCACAGATTTCAGCGATGGTAGTTAAACAGTCTCCTCTTTCGGCACCTCACAAGAGACCATCACACACAAGAACATCACACAGCACTCCACATACCTTCGACCACCTGTCTGAACCACATGCCTGAACACAAATCACGATTTTACTGTAGCAACCCTCGTCGGTCCATCAGAGGGTGCCCTACCAGCCACCTGAAACGACCACACCACACTCAGCTAGAGGCATTAAAACCTCTATAAGGAGAAAACGACCACTCCTTTTCAGCCTTTTTGACAAACTCCAAAAACCCTAAGAGAAATCTGCAAAAACCTCAACTAGGGCGCGCAGAGACTGTACAGATTCGAACCAATCTAATATAGCTCTGATACCATGATAAATTTCAGATCTGTAAACCTGTAGCCTTCAGATTAATCAAGGAAGAAAAAGAAAAAGAAGAAGAGAAGAGAGGAAAGAAAGAGGAAGAATGAGGGGAGAAAACCTGGTTCGAACTGGAGAAAAAAACTGTTCTCATCATTCAACCAGGGTGTATTAGTCTTTCTAATTTACATGCAAATGACCATTCTACCCTTATTTAGTCGACACTAACAAATACAATGCATATCACTTACCTTCTCTCCAGAAAAAGGACACAAGAGTGATAAAATTCAAAACCATAAAATGATAGCAGTAAGTCAGATAAGAAGAAGATTGAGTTTAATGGAGAGATAATAAAGGAGGAAAGTCAGATAAAAAAGAATCACAGCTGAGTACTATGAGCAGTTGTACAAGAAGGTATGGGTTCATAAACCTCTTTTGGATGGTTTGTATTGCAGGCATTATGGAGAAGCAGGACAGGGGACCAGAGAAGTGGAAAGACCTTATACTGAAGAAGAGGTATAGGAGGCAAAAGGACCTAGAGGGGGAACAACACACCAGACCCTGATGGTTTCATAGTGACATTTTATAAGAAGTGTTGGGGGATTGTGAAAGGAGAGCAAAACAGACTTTTAAAGTCATTTAGGGAACTGCAGCACCATCAAAATTTAAATTTCTTGTGTGGGTGATGACACGGGAAAGGTTCTTAACCAAGGAAATGCTTGTCAGGAAAGGAGCCAATCTGCCAGACCTTGAATATGCTTTCTGTAATAAGCAAATGTAATCTATGAATCATTAAGTCCAAAACCATTTTAGAAAAGCCGTTCCAGTTTATGGTTGCTTTCCTGCTTCAGTGAAGACCCTGCTAGCTGGGTGGCAGGTGCAAGGGATGTCCAAGAGATTGCTTAGCTGTGGTGCCTCTAGCAGTCAGTCGTGGTTTTTCTTCCTCTTTTTTGAATATAGATTTTTTTGGGGGTCTTTAAAGAAATGCCATTGTACAGAAACTCTTTGTACAGAGGACCATACATGTATACTTTCTTTTTAGTCCATACTTTATGCTTTACCTTTCTCAAAAAAAAAAATAATAATAATAATAAAATAAAAAAGAAGAAGAAGAAATCATAGAGGAATTCCATGCAAAAAGTGCTTTGGAGAGATTTCTAAATTACTCTTCTATTCTTTAATCCCCAAAAGAAAAGGTGCCATGAAAGAACTTTGGGAAAAGGTGTAAAAACTGGATAAAAGTGTGTATCTCACAACCCCTTCATTTTCTAATCTAGTGAATAGAAGTTCTTATGGAAATTTCTGGAGTTCAAGGGGTGTCAAGCAGGGTGATCCGTTGCCCCCTCTGCTATTTCATATGTGTAGATGAGGCCCTTAGAAAAATGATGAAAAGGGTAGAGATGGCAATTTTCCTCATCCCCCCTGGGGTGTGTGTGTGTAATGCCAAATTTCAATTTCTATGTTATCTTGGTGATTAATGATGTTAGTTAATTATTAAACCAATTTAGATTAATGATTTTTTCTTTCTATTAAGTAAACCTTATTCCCAAAGCAAGCTTTTAATTAAAAAAAAAAAGATTCAGGGATTTGGGTCCCCAATGGAGAACCTGTTTCCATAGGGGATCAGGGATGGGGAGTATGGTCCCCACCCCATTGTCATTCCTAGAAAAGGGCGTGTGCAGGAGTCTACCTGAAGGTTTCAAGGTGGGGGTGGGGGTGGGGGGAGTTGGAGGTGCCAATTTTGCAATTTACAGACAATACTTTTTAATGCATCCCAAGATCAGCTATGGAATATCAAAGCTGTTTTGAGATGGTATGAGGTAGTAGCGGGTTTAAATATTAACATCATTAAAGTGAGTTAATGGAAGTTGGGGAGATGGTAGATTTAGAAGAGTGGGGGTATAAAGTTGGCAAATTACCAACTTTGAGAATCCCTTTGGGGGATAATTGCAAGTCCAAAACCATATGGGAGCCAATTGTGGAGACAGTGGATAGAAACTTGCCTCCTGGAAAACTAAAAAATCTATCAAAAGGTGGAAAGTCACACTAATCAAGAGTGTTCTAGCTTCCTTGCCAATGTATTATTTGCCTCCTTTTCCAAATTCCAATTCTAGCAAGTTTAACTGCTGTGTTGGAAAAGAAAATGAGGGATTCTTTTGTGGAAGGGGGGAAGATGAAGCTAAATGACATTTGGTGGGCCAGAAGGAAGTGCATAGAACAAAAAAGGTGGATGAAGTGGGGGATTAGGAAAATAAAGGGGGTTAATGTTGCATTATTGGGTAAAAGGCTGTAGAGGTTCAATGAATAGCCTGGTAATTTGCAGAGACAGCTAATAGCTGCTAAATATGGCTTTAATAATAGAGAGTGGGGTGCAGGTGCAGCAAATTCCTCCAATGGATGCTCAATGTGGAAAGGAATTCAGAAAGTCTATCCTCAATTCGTGAAGGAAAATAAATATGAAGTGGGGGAATGGGCAAAGGATTTTGTTTTGGAAGGAGTTATGGTGTGAAGATGGGCTGCTAATGGAGCTTTACCCAAATCTGTTCAAAGTTGCAACAAATAAAGATGCAATAGTGGCTGGTTACATGGAAATGCAGAATGTTTGCAGAAACTGGAACCCCCGGTTTCGAATGAACCCAAATGACTGGGAAGTGGTCTCACTCATTGACTTTTTACAAAAGCTGTATAGCTTAAGGATTGGAGGGTAAAGGGAGGACAGGAGAGTGTGGACACTTGAGAAGGTAGGGAAGTCACTATCAAATCTTTTTATAGCAGGCTAACAAGGGGGAATATTTCAGACTTTTCAAGTTCAATGATTTGGAATAATACTGTCCCATTTTTTGCTAAGGGAAATCTTTTTATAATGTCATAGCCAAGAATTGGGTTTGGGCTGTGATTATTGTTTGTATATCATGTTTACAGAACCCTTTTGTACGTCTTCATTTTTGGGAATGAAATACTTTACTTTTCAAAAAAAAAAAAAATATTGCTGCAATTTGAGGCATATGCCAGTAAGCACCAAAGCATAAGCCACAAAATACCTTTACACACTCCAAAATTGTGGCCCGATGCCTCTGCACTGCTTGAGTATCCACTATAACAGCATTCATCAGCATGTTCAATGCAACATACCTGCCAAAGGACACTGGGCAATTGCATCAGTTCCCCAACATACAGGGGAAAGAGAGGCAGAATATAGAACATGCAGAATACTTCAACAACTAAAAATTAATTAATTTGAGGCCAATTTTATATAAAAGGTGTTGTTAGGAAGGACATTAGAGCTTTTATTGGGCCTATTTATGTGTTTATTTCTGTTAAGTTGTAATCAGGGGTATTCTTGAAATCCTCTTTTATTTGATCACCCTAATATATAAGCCAAGTGGGGCACCTCCTGATGCAGGAGCTGAAGAGACAAAATTGGAATTTTATGAAATTTTATGTATTTCTGTATTTTTGGACAGTAGGGGTATTTTTGTCATTTGCGATTTTCTGTGGGGTCCAATGATAAGGTTTAATTTGCCTAGTTATAGTTTTCTTATGTTTAAAATTTCAGAGTCATTACGTAAGTAGGATTGGAGTTATTGAGTCTTCTTTGAATTGAAATAGGGATATGACAGCATAGTTTGAGTCCTACTAGGATTATCAAGTCTAACAGTTTGACTCCTAAGACTATTATGAGTCTAACAGTTTGGCTCCTAGGATTATTATGAGTTTAGTGTCTAGAAATATGTATTGACATTTTACACAAGGGCAATGAAGTTTATTGAGTTTTCTTCAGCTTATGCTAACTATGGTGAGTGATTCCCATGCCCTAGAGTGATTCTAGGCACCCTGTGAGTGATTCCAGGTATTTTCTCTCTTCTTTCTCTCCCTATTTTCTCTCTTATTCCTTCAAGAAGCCATTACAGCCATCAACAGCCATAAAATTCTGATCAAGGAAACCACTCAACATTGTCTAAGGACTAGAATTGAGCTAGTCCTACATCAGTTTGGTATCAGAGCCAAGGTTATAGGCTGTTATCATCATGGCTACACATAGTGGCAAGCAGTAAAGGGTCGGCTGACTGATACACAAAGAGATTCATTGATTTCTACCCTTTGCAAGAGAGTTGAAACCCTTGAAGCACAAGTAAAAGAACTTCAAGAAGATAAAGAAAAAGAAATCCAGCAAGAAGTACCTCTAACCAATGAAAGGGATGGAGGACGAAACAACGGAGCTGTCCATGAAGATGATAATGGTGAAGATGAAAGAACTGTTAATCTTAGAGGACGACAAAGAGCTGTAAACTGCACAAGCATACCACCTGCACAAGCTAATCGAATCTGAAATGCCCATCAAGGGATTGATCAAGAAGCATCACTCACAAATCTATTTGATGAGATGATAGAACAAGCTAAACATGGTGGTTATGCAGAAGATATAACCAAGAAGGTAAAGGTGGATATTTCTAATTTCAATGGAGATTTAGACCCTCAGTCTTTTTCAGATTGGCTGGCTGCACTAAAGGAATATTTTGATTGGTATGACATGACTGATGGTCGGAGGATCAAATTTGCACGTATGAAGCTTGGTGGTCATGCTAAAGTATGATGAAGAAGCATGGAGCGACGATTGGAGAATAGAGGTGATAGTCCTATTTATACATGGTCAGAAATGAAGAAACATTTGAGAGACAAGTACCTCCCAATGGACTTCCAAGATGAGCTATATGAGGAATTGATTAACCTCAAGCAAGGTATGCTATCTGTAGTTGAATGCATGCGTAAGTTTGATGAATTATCTATTAGATGTGATACTACTGAAAGTGAGAGGCAAAAGTTGGCTCGATACAAGAATGGACTACGGGCTGAAATCAAGAACGAGAGTAACTGCTTGAGTCATTGACTTAGAGGATGCCTACCAAGTTGCTGTAAAAATTGAGAAGAGTTTAAAGCAAACAAACACAAGGCAATTTGTATCACAAACCGGGGAGTATGCAGCTCATAAGCAAGCTGATGGGGGAAAGACTTCCAGGCTAGCATATTCTAATGCCAGCTCTTATAAGCCTAGTGGGTCTAGACCTTATCAAGGGGCTGACTATAAGAGTAAATCAGTTGCTAGTGGTGTTACATAGAAAAAACAGCTTGATACTAGTTGTTTTAGGTGTGGAGGAAAAGGCCATATGGCTTACCAATGTCCTACCAAAAGCCTTAATATCATTTATGAAGAAGTGGTAGGTGACCCAAGTGATGACTTAGCTGAAGAAGAGGATTATTCCTTCACTAATGATGATGCTTTAGATGAAGACAGCAACTGCGTTGGTGTAGTTCGGCGTATTCTTGCATCCCCAAAGGAAGAACTCAAGAAAGATTGACTTCGTACAGCAATATTTCAAACTATAGTAAAGAGTGGAGACAAGTATAGTAAGCTTATCATAGATGGTGGCAGTAGTATGAATGTGATTTCTGAAGTCACTGTAGATCAGCTAAAGTTGACACCACAACCATACAAGATTGCTTGGGTTGATAAGACAATAATTGCGGTAACTAAACGAGCCATTGTTACTATTTCTTATGGTAGTTATTCTAATTCTATTTGGTGTGACATTGTTCTTATGAATGTTACACACATATTGCTTGAAAGGCCTTGGTTGTATGATAGGGATATCTACCATTGTTGAAGGGAGAACACCTATCACTTCCTATTTAATGGAAAGTGAGTTGTCATGAACCCAATGTCACTGGAAGTTATTAAAAGGCATGCCAGGCCACCTCAAAAGGAGACTACAGCCCAAGGGCCCATTGCTGAATCTAAGAAAAAACCATTGCATTTGCTCTCCAGAAAAGAGTTTGAAGTAGAAAGCAAGGAGACAGGAGTTGTATATGTTTGTAGAGATAGTTGATAGACTATTAGTGTGTGTGGTCCCAGTCCCACACTTTATTTTTCTGTTTATTTCTTTGTGCTACAGTTATGGTAGTTGGGCCGGTTGGGCCATATTTATTTTTCTTTTGTTTTCCTATGAAGTTAGTGGGGGTATTAGAGTAATTCTATTTCTTTGTAAAATAAGTATAAATAAGAATTAGTGGGGYGGCCAGAATTAACTAACCGCACCCTTTCTCTCTCTTTTCTTCTCTTCTCTCTTCTCTCTTCTTCTCTTTGATTCTAGGTTAATCTCTCTTCTTCTTCTCTCTAAATTACATCAGAAAATACATTCTTTTCTGTTTCTTTTTGTTAGGTTGAAAGTTTTTCATGTATTGATGGTTCGGCTGATAAGAGTTTGTTAACAGGTGTATTATATGTACTGTACACAGGCTTAGTACCCGCAGGGGTATTTTCGTAATTCTGTAGACATATTGTTATGTACGGCCAGAATAGTATAAATAGAAAGCTTCACTCGACTGAAGCTAAGTTTTGTTGAGGCCTTAACTCAGTTGCCTCTTATTCTTCTTCCTCTTCTTCTTTCTT